TGGAGGGAGTTGACGGTGGTGATTGTCAAGACGTAGCCAAAGAGGAGGCTGGTCAGGTCGGCGATTCTGATGACGGTGTCCATGCCAAGTGAACGGAAGAGGAAGCGAGAGGGCAGGTGTGGAATCGATGGCCGTGATAGAGCCGATATATGTTTTCTGTGGTCATGCACAGAGCAGAGAGCACAGCCGGAGGCTTCCCTATCGCGAGAAAGTGATGTTGGTTGCGGCAACTTTTCCTGTGATAATGTCCATTCCGATGGCTCTACCAGGGCCGCATCGACGAGGTTGTTTGTGGGATGCATGTGTTTTCGCCGACCTCGGTTCGGATTCTCCTGTCTATTGTTTCGTTCTTCTTGGGGAATTGAGCGGCGGGAATCGCTGCGGCATTTCGCTTCGTCTGGATAGCCTAGTGCAGCTGCAGTCTGACAGCGTGATGCCTTCGACCTGTCTAGCGACGCCCTAGATATTGCCGTCCTGCTGCCACATGCGAATGGGAGGACCGGGCAGGGCAAAGCGGCTTCTGGTGCTTGAGGCTCACCCGCCCAAGCCTGGCTGGTCGGGCATTCATTGTCTTCCTCGTATTGCGGGCATTGCTCTGCTTTGATCCTCCATCTTTCGGTCTCGTTCAAACTTAGTGTGTTGTAGTTATCGATTGTATCGTTGTCAGGCCCCGTTCGTCGCTGGCTGGAGGTCCCCATATCGTTGCGGTTTCGATGGCAGGGCAAATGTGTGGATTGCTGATGTGACTGCTGGAACTGTCAGCTCTGGTCCCGCAAAGAGCGCAGCGATTGTCCTTACGCGTCAATATACAGATGTTCTTTAGATAGTATCGCTTTTGCAACAGCAAACTTCTCCTCATCGATGGATGTAGTGGCGTGGCAAGAGAGGAGAGAATTGGAGATGGAAGACAACGACGCTGTGGTCCATGGCGAACCATCCGGGCCTCTGCGTAAGGCAACTGTCCGCAAATGAGGGGTTGAGAGAGGAGGCCTCGCGAGGGCGGTGAGTTCATGCGGAGTTTTGACCAATCAGCTGGCGCCAGGCTCTGAGGATGCCAGCCGTAAGGCTCTGGTTGCTGAAGAGGTTCTGACAAGCTGTTCATCGACCCCCTCGAAAAGCATCCAGACGAAGTCCGCCAGGAGACAGATCTCAGGCCAAAACTTGGGTCACTGACGTCGTTTCACCACCTCCGTTCCGTTGATAGGCTGTCCGCGGCAGTGCCCATGCTCCCCCCCCTGCAATAATGTCCACCATGCTCAGCGGATCCCTTTAAGTCGCGCCTCCCGCCAACCATTGCCTGTCCTCCATTACCCCCTCGCTCCCAGGTTCAACCCTTGATACTTTCCTCTGCCTTCCCTCGGGCTCCTTTTCGAGAGCATCTGCTGTTGCTGCTCGTCCCCATCTGGACCTCATTCTACCTGGCTAACACCACTCTCTCGTTCGTTTTGTGCCCCATCCACACGAAATTGGCCAAGCACGCTTGTGTACCTCGCCCAAAACGACAAGGCTGGCTGAACTGCACATGCCCCGCAGACAGCTGGAACTGGCAACATGAACAACGAGAACCCCCAACCCGAGAGGTTGCTAAAGATAGACCTCGCCCCATTATGGAACAAATATCTCCGCCAAAAAAGCGAAATCCAGTGGTACTCCCAGGGCACCGGGTCTGGCAACATGAACAACGAGAACCCCCAACCCGAGAGGTTGCTAAACCCATTATGGATCGGGGACCGCGTTCCCCAACGCCCAAGATGCTCTACGGACTTGGTCGGACACAGCGCCAGAGAGTAAGGCCTGCCCCTTTGCTCTCACTTCCAACGCTGCTGCCATTTGCTCATCCTTGCAGTTATAGGCTATCGCCGCAGTCGCATGCAACATCTCAATCCCGGGAAGATCCTGAAAGCCTTCGAAGCAATCCTTCAACCTTCAAGCGAGAAGGTAGCGGATCGAGAAGCCCATCCCCTCCCAAGCGCTCCAAGGCCACATCTACGTTAGCCTCTCATGAGCGCCGCGACGAGTTTGGCCGCGGCGCGATCCCAGTCCATGGCAAAGGCAGGCTGTGGAGTCCGAGCGAAGACGCTACTCCTCCTCGGCCAGCCTCATACGACAAATCCAACGTGGCCGTTACTAACCGGATCCGGGGATCATCCGGCACCAATCCCCGTCGCCAGCCTCCAGACGGAGCCCAACAATATAGCGTCAAAGGTCCTGAGGACAAATCGACCGAGCTGATCAAGCAGCCAGAAACAAGACCAATTTCACAGGAACAGCTTGTTGCCGAAGTCAAGGGCATCTACGCCGGCTTGGTCATGATGGAGAACAAGTGTGTCGAAGTCGACACTGCCCAGAACAGTCGAGCCGATCCAGCCAACACGAAGCTCAACAATGAGCAGTGGCAAGCTCTTATCGCTCTCCACCGCACATTCCTTCACGAACACCATGAATTTTTCCTGGCATCGCAGCACCCCAACGCATCTCTAGCCCTCCGGCGCTTGGCATCTAAATATGCGATGCCGGCTCCGATGTGGCGACACGGTATTCACTCCTTCCTGGAGCTCCTCCGCCACAGGCTCCCTGCAGCAAGTCCCGAACACATGCTGTCGCTCATTTATCTTGCCTACTCGACGAGTCCCTCACTGTACGAGACAGTTCCTGCCTTCAAGGATACGTGGATAAAATGTTTGGGGGATCTTGGGCATTACATGATGGCTATCGAAAATGACAACGTTCGCAACTGCAGGGCGCTGAACGATCGTCGAAAGGGGCAGCATACGGAGAACATGGGAAATCCGACGAGGACGAGTCCATCGACAAGCGAAACTCGAGAAACTCGGCCATGTTCATGCTGTCAATACCTTCGCTGTTCATTGTGTCAACCTCATCATAAACACGCTGACTACGCTCTCGTTGGTGATGAACCCTCCTTTGGGGTGCTTCCACCACAGAACTCCCCCAGTCCCTCGCCGAATATCCCCAGCGGTGCCTCTGGCCCAGGACCCAACCATCACATCCTTCGAAACTTACGCTCTACAGCCCTCTCACGACTCCTCCGCTTCTTCGCTCCTCTCTTCATGATCTCCGTCTCGCTTGCTCTGACAGCGCCTCTCACGCGAGTTCCCTGGCACGTGCCAAAAGTGTTAATGCTCGCCACCTCAGCCATGGGCTCCTTCGGCACCGGGATGGTATCCCTGAATCTCGATATGTCGCCCCCCTCGGGCAGTGCTGGGCCTGCCGACATGAGCCTTCGGGTCATCTCCTCTCTCCTCGTTGCGGTGCTTGCCGTGGGCTATTCATTTTGGTTCCTCGGACAGGCACCGCACAAGACACGGCAGTTCAACAGGGGCGTATCGCTCGCTGTCGTGCTGTGGATCATTGTGCGTCTACTGCGCGCATCGGGCAACAGCGACAAGGCGGAGCGTAGCGGGAGCGACTACCTCTGGCTTGACGAAATCAATCTCCTCGCGTGCGCCTCCGTCGTTGCGGGTATTGTGAACGCCGAGCGCAGCATCTTTAGCCCGGCTGGGACCGAGGAGGGTGATGACAACAGCGTCGATGGACGCCACAATGGACGCCTTGATGACATTGAGGACCGAGGAGACAACGGCCGACCCAACGGCTGTCAAGCTGGGAATAATGCTAGCGGATCCTCAACAAGTTTTGCGGAGAGTGCATCCGCGGCCGTGCAAGCTGTAGCTGGGGGCTAGTGGCCTCAGAGCGATGGGCAGCTGATCACCTCGCGGGACAGCCTCACGAGGATACACGGATCGAATCACATACTTGTTGGGAGTTGAGACCGGGCACACGTGCCCGGATTGGGGGTTTCGGCCGTCTTCGCGATGGTATCCGACACCCCCAATACGTTCATCCATCACTAAACGTTCAGCCCGACCATACGTTTACACCAATACGTTCACGCCAATTCATTCACCCCGACCATACGTTAACCCCAACCATACGTTCAGAAACGTCGTGATGAAAGATGGGTGAAGCAGGGAAGGAAGCCACGTTTTGGTGCCTTGTGAAGCGGACAATACAATACAAAGATTTAGAGATTCCAACATTTGCCTCTGTTTCTATGGTGTGTGCCTTGCGCTCGTGATCTACCGGGGCTCCATTGATTCGCTCCCCCTTCGTTGAGCGTGTTTGATATGTCTTTCATTGAACGTTTTTCAAGACCAAGACAATTTCATTGGGCAACGCAGTTTGTACTTTTGGGGCAAGACGATGGAGACGCCAATTTTTGGAATTCATGTGGAATACGAAACTATTTGGAGATTCAAGCGTTCCCCCTGTTTTGATATTTCCGTTTTGTTCCCTTTGTGCGTCCAACTGATCACAAGAGAACACATCCACGTACTATGCCTTCCGTCTCACTTGTACTATGTGCATGTGCCCTCGAACTAACCATCAGGACAGCGATTAAGGCAGTTCGGATCTGGAGCCTAAGGTTTTGCATTTACCTGAATTTAATAATCAGCTATAATTAATCATGTTCACCCGGGGATTACAGGGTTGGTGTTACTGTTTGTCCCGATTATGAAAATCTTAGACTCCTGTATAATGATCTCAGCCGCTGGTATCGTCAGAACAAACGAAAAATAGCCACATTTCAACCACCACTGCCTGTAAACAAGCACACGCGATTGTTCGAAGAAGCCTACTCGTATGTAGTTAATCAGTATTTGTTTTATATTTTTTTTTTTTAGAAGTGGTTAAGGAGTTAGTGGGCCATAGTACAGGCGAGACGTAAGGCATAGTACGTGGATGTGTTCTCGATCACAAACAGGTTGTGTGTACCCCTTATACCACTTCTCCGAACGCATCAACGTAAGTCACCAAAAAGGGCGGGTAGCGAAGTAGAGCGTTCCTAAGCGTAATCAGCGTTGTTTCTCGCCCATCTCCCCGCCCTCATAGGCACAACACCTTTTTTTTGCGGGCTTGGTGGGTTGGTGGCGTTTTGGGGGTAGGAGTGTTTAAATCACTTCTCTTGAGGCCTCGTTGGGCAGGTAGCGTAGTGGTCAAGCGTCCTGAGCGTATTCAGCGTTGTGTTTCCAGCGTTCAGCGAAGACCCGGGTTCGAATTCCGGCCTGCCCATACTCCCTCCCCTCACATGGGTTGAACATCTTTTTTTGCCCTTCTGGTGGGTTGGTGGCGTTTTGGAGGTGTCATTTTGCAACGCTCGAAGTTGAGAAGTACGGGAGCCCGTGACGGGACCTGGGATGCACGTTCAGCTCTGCCAAGCCAGGTACAGCGATAGGCCAATCAAGTAAGGGGCCTCCTGCAGATTGGCCTGCTTCCGCCCTGTGGCTTCCGTCGGGCATCGAGGCTTCACCCGAGCTCTGTGCACACCAGCGCCAAAACCGGGGCCCACCACTCAGCTTAGGGGCTCTCTCCCCTCAACCCAACTTTCATTCATTCCCGTTGACCGCCCCACTCCCGGCCTCACTTGAAGCTTTTGCATTGCAATTTCTCAGAAACAAACCAAGTCCCCGAATCTTGCTCTCTTGTCCACTGCCTACGATTGACAAACTTCATATCCCCGCATCTCAAATCCCGCACGGAGATGTCGTCCTCCGAAAACAGTCCGAAAGCACACATCTGCATTGTCGGTGCAGGAATCTCCGGGCTGCGCTGCGCCGATATCCTCCTCTCGCATGGCTTCCGTGTTACTATTCTCGAAGCGCGCGATAGGATAGGCGGAAGGGTATGCCTCTTCACTGAAATAGCGCATCAACACATGCTAACACTCTTCCAGATATGTCAGTCCGATGCCCTGGGCTACACAGCAGACATCGGCCCAAACTGGATCCACGCTTGGACGGATTCTGACGAGCCTCATCCCGTATATAAACTTGCGAAAGACACTGAAACGCCGCTGCACTACTGGAACAACAAGCAGCTCATCTTTGACTTGACTGGGAATCCGCTGCCGGCTGAGCAGACGGAGCGGCTGTCGACTTTGCTTTGGGAGATCATCGATGAGGCGTTCAAGTTCAGTGAGAAGGCGCGCGATGAGGATGGTGGGAAGGGGATTCCGAGTGGGGATTCGTTGCAGGATTTCATCCGGCGACGGGCGGAAGAGGTTGTGCCTGACCAAGGGGAACGGAAGTTGTTGGTACAGATGAGTGAAGTTTTTGGGGCGTATGTTGGTGAGCCCGTGTGGAAGCAGAGTTTGCGATTTGCCTGGATGGAGGAGTGTTGCGGCGGAGGTGAGTCTACCCCGAGTCATCGACAGCCCCTGAATTGACACTCAAGATGCTGATGCCAAAGGGAACTCCAAGACGAAATGTTTGTCGAATCGACGTTCTCATCCATCCTCCAACGCGCTGCAAAACCAGCACTTGAAGGTGCCACCATTCACCTCAATACCCTCGTCGTAGGTGTCACGACCCCTGAAACCAGGACACCCTCCCACCAGGTCAAAATCACCACCTCCACCGGCGAGACCCTCTCCTTTGACGAAGTCGTCATGACTAGTCCCCTAGGCTGGCTCAAACTCCACCAAGACATCTTCTCCCCTCCGCTTCCCCCCCGCCTCACCGCAGCAATCAACAACATCTCTCTCTCCCAACTCGAAAAAGTCTTCATCACCTTCCCTCGCGTCTTCTGGAATGAAAACCCGGCTGCCGACACATTTCCATGCTACACAAACTGGCTCACCCCCGCGTATGCTACCGATAAGAACCCGGAAGGCTGGCCTCAGGAGATCTGGGACTTGTCGACCTTTCGAGAGCCAAACAATCATCCGACAATCCTGTTTTACTTGTATGGGGATTGCTCAAGGCACGTTGTGAACATGATCTATGGGAAATCAAACGAGGAGAAACATCGTCTTTTGGAAGAGTTCTTCCGCCCCTACTACTCCCGGTTGCCGGGGTACAGCTCGGACGATACCGATTGCAAGCCGAAGGCGATACTAGCAACCGAATGGCTCAAGGATGAATTGTGCGGATTCGGGAGTTACTGCAACTTCCAGGTGGGAATTGAGGAGGCTGACAAGGATGTGCTGGCGATTAGAAAGGGTTGTCCGGATAGGAGGTTGTGGTTCTGTGGGGAGCATGCGGCCCCTTTTGAGGAATGCGGAACGGTGGCTGGTGCGTACTTGAGTGGAGAGTCGATTGGGAAGAAGATTTTGGCGGTTTATGGAGCAGCGGATTGAGTAGTACTGCAGGGCTGCTTGGAGATATCAAGGCAATTCGAGGATAGAGCAGGGTTGGAAGGTTGAAATGTAGATGAAATGAGCGAGCGTGGAGATGAGATGTTTCGATGATCAGCTTTGGTTCTAGACCAGCGAGTTCTGGGAGAAGGCTCACTGCTCGGTGTGAAAGCCAAGGGAGCATGCTCCTGAATGTCCCTTATCTCATCCTCATCTTCACAATCCCATCACGCCCTGAACTTCTTGCCAAAAAACGAACAAAGGTTGCTGGACGATTTTAGGATGTTGCCGCAGCTGCTGCCAGCTGGCAGTACAAATCCCCATTCATACATCGCGCCATTTTCCAGCTTTCGTTTGAGCCGCCACAACGTCCCATGTCAAAATGGTCAGCGGCTCCCCCACCTCCTTCTAAATATTCCTGATATCTTTCTGCTTCAGTCTCTTCAAGTAATTGACCGATGGGTGATGATCATATCATCATATGTCATGAAACACGAGCACAAAGAGCGAGAGATGCCCACCATCATTAGCAGGTTTGGCGCGTAATCATCAGGTGAGCGGGTTGGCCCAGATCGCCGAGTGAGTGGACATCATGCCAGGGCTCCCTTGGCGCAAGAACTCCTACAAAAAGTGGACAACAGCGCCGTCCATTGCCGGACCCCTCACAATTCCCCGCATCACTGACAATCTCATTTCAAGTTCGTTCTGAATCACCTCAATCAACATCACCCAACATGCCCAGCCCGCCGCGAAGTGTTCTTGCCGTCATCGGAAGCGGAGGAATCGGCCTGGCCTCGGCACGGAGACTCGCCCGAGGCCGTCCCATCTTCCTCGCCGACGCATCGGAAAAGAACCTCGAAGCCGCGGCAAAGAGCCTCCGGGATACCGGAAATGAAGTCGAAACGCGGTTGGTGGACGTCTCCGACTTCCGGTCCGTCCAAACCTTCGCGCAAGCCGCCGCGGGCGCGGGCAGGGTCGAGACCGTCGTCCACACGGCTGGCCTCTCGCCCGCCATGGCCGCACCGGACCGCATCCTCGCGGTCGACCTGGTCGGAACCGCCAACGTGATCGAGGCCTTCCGGGACGTCGTGGGGCCCGGCTCCACCCTGACGTGCGTCGCTAGCATCGCCCGGTTCGGCGCCGCGCCGTCCAAGGAGCTGTCGGAGCACCTGGCGACCGCGCCGCTGGATGAGCTCCTCGTCAACGACGAGCTGCAGACTGCTGCGTCCAGCGCGGCGTCCGCGTACTCCATCTCCAAGGCGGCCAACCTGCTGCGGGTGCAGGCGGCGGTGCGGGCGTGGAGCGCCAAGGGGGCGCGCATCAACACCGTCAGCCCGGGCGTCATCCTGACGTCCATGGTGCGGACGGAGCTCACGACTCCGTCGGGCGCGACGATCAGGGCTATGATTGAGGGGTCGCCGCTGAGACGCGCCGGTACGGCGGAGGAGATTGCGAATGCTGTGGCTTTCCTTGCGGGCCCCGATGCTAGCTTCGTCACGGGGACGGATCTGGTTGTGGACGGGGGGTTTATTCCCGGGAGCCAGGGACTTGCGGCGATGAAGCAGGAGTAAGGTGTTGGTCTTTTTGGGCTCCATGAGGACCGCAACGGTCAGGAGATGGAGTGGGAGACATTGGGATGTGTATATATTTGTGAATGTAGGTAATTGGACAGGATTGAGCAAGAATAATTGCATCAAAAACTCTGATAACATCGAGGTTATTCGAAGCCGGATTTTGAAAGAGAAATATTTCAATGAGTTGTGTGATGGGCTGATACCTAAATGGTTTGTGTGTGGACATTGCGGGTTGCGGGTTGTTCATCAGGGAGGAAGGAACGTCGAGTCGACTTGGAGGTCGAGGGAAGGAGCAAGAACTCTGTTTTGATTCAAGGCAATCTCCTCGATTCTCTCTCCTTTTAGCTTCTGGGCCCATTTACTGTGCACCGTAGGCCTTGACCGGGCTTCCGTCCAATGCCTGATTGCTTTCAGCCGAGATATTATTTTCCTCTCAAGAACACAGGGGTTATCGCCCCTCACTGACAGTTTGTGCACATCTGGCAGTAGATCCACCGCGCCTTGTGCCCACGGTTATCCAGGGTGTAAAGATCAGCTTCCCCAGGGTACTGGGTAAAAGTAACGTCACCGTGGATGGCGCAGGGCGTTGTGGAAACATTTGTCTCTTCTCCCCTGAAATCAAAATCCGGTCAGCGACACCTAAATTTTTCCGAGAAATACATTGGAAACAGTGTGGAGCTTCATACGAAAAGACACGACAGATCGCGCCGCGGTCCGGGCCAATGGATCCAATATTTTCGTAAAATGGTTCTGGCATCCGAGAGCAGACTGTATTGTCGCCCAAGCTCAACGGGTAGTTGAACACCTCGCAAGTGCCGGTCCAGTTGGGTTCAGTGCAGAAGTACACCTGTTATCCATATTAGACGTCTTTGAGAGGGGAGACATAGAAACGTGAAGGTGCAGTTGTACGTTGCCAGGAGTGTCCCGCGTCGTCAACGGCTTCTCATGCTTGCCATCTGTCGGGAGGCTGACTGTCAACTCGGCAAAGAGGGAGAGTGGCAAGAATAGGGCGTAGTGAAAGCGCATCGTGCTCGATGTCTTGGACGTTCTGATGAGGCAAAGGAGGGCTGGGAGCTGTCAGGGGAACGAGGACACTGCTCTAAGCTTTGTATCCTCCGCATTGTCTCTTTCCGTTCTTCGATGATCCTTCTATCTTCCCCGAACGCCCCTCTATGCCGCGATCAGGCATTGAGTAATGGTGAAACCGAGAAGTGGGTAGCTGCGCAAACCATCGAGTCTTATGGCGATGGAAGCGTTTCCCAAGTTGATTTCAATCGACAGAATCAAGTTGATGCGGTGCGCTTGCTCATCCCCAACAAGCACCAAGCCAATGCTTTCCTACCAAGTTGCCCCATGTGGCCAAA